AAAAAAAAAAAAAAAAAAAAAAAAAAAAAAAAGAGATTTTTGTTCTTTTAAACGAAAGAAAGAACAAAAGATGAAGAGAAAATGCGATCTGTGCAAAAACGTGGCAAGTATGTACTGCAACTCGGATCAGGCGAGCCTTTGCTGGGACTGCGACTCTCGGATCCACGTGGCGAACTTCCTCGTGGCCAAGCACACGCGGACACTCCTCTGCCGGGCCTGCCAGGGACCGACCTCGTGGACGGGCTCGGGCCCAAAGCTCGGCCCGACTTTCTCTGTCTGCGATAGATGCGTTCGCTCCGGGAATGCGAAACTAGAGGAAGATGATGATGATGATGATGACGACGTGGAAGAGGAGGATGATGATGATGATAACGTGGAGGCTGACGATGATGATGACGGGGATAATCAAGTGGTGCCTTTATCTCCGCCACGGTTTATGGCCTCGACATCATCTAGCAGCCAAGAGTCTTCGAGCAGAGGGGAGGGATTATCGGGCTCGGGTATCGGGTTTCGGGCTCGAAGAGCTTAATTGACGGGTGAAATTTCCAGGTTTTCTAACAATGTATGTTTCACTTTTCAGCCTCTTTATCATCCGTTGTGCTTAAACATGGCTAAATTCCGGGCTGGGGCCGGGCAAAACCCTGATCGTGGACCGTCCTAAAAATATGAAAAAAAAAAATAAAAAAATATCTAACGTTGATTTCTCTGTCGACCCTGGCCTGGCCCGTCAGGTCATATGTCCTGAACCAATTCAGTTTGAATTCGGTCAACTGGTATGACCGGGCCGGGTTTGTGCCGGTTTCGGACGGGGATGTCTAGTTGTGCTTTAGTTATACTATATCATTGCGTTTAATTTCTTGGATGGTGTCATATTGAATTAGGGAACATATACATTTATTACTTATTGCCCAAGGCTTCTTATTTGAATGTGTCAAAAGGTAAAACCAAATAATTAGGCATAAAATTTCCCAACGTTCATTAGTAATAAAACTCATAGTTTAAAAAATGGATGTTGCGATATAGGTGATGTCGTAAATTATGAATGTTCATGAAATTCAAATTATTTTTCTACCACCAAAATTAATACAGGTCGTAAATTTGAGAAATATCAATGCACAAAACTAACTTGTCCATTGTCTATTTTTGGTACATTATCTTTCCCTTCATCAAAGATGGTCTATTATGTTACACTTATCATCAGTTTTAGTACACTACTTTTGTGGGCGGGATTACGAAATGACGTGGATTGGGATTAGAACTACGTGGAGGGATAGAATATTGACGTGGTATGATAAAAACCTGATTTGTCGTCTCGTAATCGCGGCCCACGGGATTAATGTACTAAAACTGATGAAAGGTGTAACATTATGGACCATCTTTGATGAGGGGAAAGATAGTGTACCAAAAGTGAACAATGAGTTTAATGAGGAAAGTCTTAATATACATTTTTGAAAGATTGAATTTTACTTTACAAAATTATGAATATTTTAAGGTTAAATTAAAATTATTATATAAATATTAGTATTAAACTTTATATAGCAAACTTGAAAAATTCATATTTCTGAAGTTCAAAAAATATTACCCTTACTCTTAATCATAAAGAGTGCCCTTAGAGATATCTCCATTTTTTTCTTATGAGCAGACCATCAAAGGGCCCCAAGTGGATAACAACCGTTCGGAAAATTTGGAGATCGTGGGCGTGGCGATAGTAAAAAGCTGGAGATTTGTGGGCCAGGTGGAATAATCACCTTTTTATCTTTGGTTAATTACGTTTGTTTTCAAATTGATACAGCTTAATTATGATTTGTTTTGTACCTGATAATATATATATATATTAACATTTTCATCAATTTTGTTTTTTAATGTATTTGTTTGTGCTCAAAATCCAATCACGAGATTTAATTTAAGTGTCAAATATATTTTTATTTTTATTTTGTTCTTGCAAGTTGTAATAATCTCAGCACAAGTCAAGGAACCAATAGCCCGTGTGGTACAATGAATGATAATGTTTAATGCAATTTCATCTGGGACACGAGTATGAAAAGAAGGTTGACTTTAGTAAAAGCCGTTAATTCATGAGAGGCAACAAGTTGCTAATTAATCTAATTAGTTAGACATGGTCAAAACACGGGGCCGGACTCGAGCCCGACTCAACCTGCTGGGGCGACGAATTGGGTTTCATGGCCTTGAACCGGTACAGACCTAGGTCGAGCCGGGATCCGTGGTTAAAAGCAATGTGTTTTTCTCGCGTTGGCCTGTCCCGCCAGGCTAGGGTCGACAAAAACAAAGCCCTGAACCAGCCCTGTTGAAATCTAAGCCAGCCCTAAACCCGTGGTTAGTAGGTTTGATTGGGCCGGGTGGCCCGTGGCCACGTCTAGATGTAGTTATCGTTTAAAAAAGATACCATTGTTATGTAAAAATAATAAATTAATCCTGTTTAAAATGTCTAATTGCTTCTATTAAATATTCATTTTTTCCCAAGGAAAATGCATATTTTACAATGAAATGTCATACTTATATCACCATCTAATCATTATTTGCATATTTATTATAAATCTTAATTATCTAACTATTAAATATTAAAAAGTGTAGGGAGTGAAAATTTGCACAAGTTTATATTTACTCATATCTTCAATATGTGTGACTAATGAAATGTTTCGGATATATTTAATTCATTAGTTTATTATTTCCATTTATGTCGTGAGCAATTTTTAAATAGCGGCTGTCATCCATTTTATATTCTATAATTCAAATATTACAAATAGTTTTTCAAGTAATATTTTATTATTTTCACCAACACAAATAAATAAAAAATGAGAAAAGAACAAACACAACAAATATCAAATATATAGTAATAAGTATGATTACATAAATGTAAGGTTTGCATAACAACACTCTTATTGTGTGAGAATAGTCTGAAACAAAGAGTGGATAATTAATGTTGAGTATCATCACAACTGTAGTGTTACTGTGTCATATATACTAGTCTTAAACAAACACGAGATAATTTTGGAGTATCAAAACAAGTGCAACGTATATAAAGTACCCTCACAATACATAATACCAAACACCAATACAAACAAAAATAAGCTAACACAAATAAATAAACGACAACAAAAGAAAAGAGCACGTGTAACACCCCGCTATCTTACTAATATCAGAGTTAATTTTTCGCAAAATCTTTTCTAAAAATACTTATTAATTTGCGAAATCATAATTCGGGATGCTACTAAAAATCTTTCTGTTCTGAAAAATTCGTTATCTTTTCGGAGTTTAACTATTAAGAAAAACGAATTATATTTAATCAAACTAGCATGTAATACTGAACAAAATCCAACTGGTAAATCGGATCAAAATTTGAAAACTAACATGCAAGTTCGACAAGCTGTAAGTGTCAGCGGAAGTAAAACGTGGCAAAATATATACAACAAAAGTCTGCAAAATGGCATCTAGCCAAATCCACAACCACGAACCACCAGCTGAGCTCACACCTCTGGACCGACCCTGTGATCTGAAAAAGAGGAAAGAGTGGGGGCGTGAGCACTACGTAATCTGCCCACTAGAGTGTGCACATGGCTTCCGGCCCTCAGTATCGCCGGCAAATCCAGTTTCAGATTATATACTCTTGATTAATATCAGTTTCAGTACCAATATCAGTTTCAGTTGTATATATATACTATTGATCATGATATTGCAATTATTATTGTTGTTTACTTTAGTATGAGTTTCTGCGGAGCACAGTGGCTTTTAGTGCTCACGCCCCCACTCTTTTCTCTTTTTCAGACCACATGGTCGGTCTAGAGGTGTGAGCTCAGCTGGTGGTTCATGGTCGTGGACTTGGCTAGATGTCATTTTGCAGACTTTTGTTGTATATATTTTGCCACGCTTTTACTTCCGCTGACACTTACAGCTTTTCAAACTCGCATGTTGATTTTCAGATTTTGATCCGATTTATCAGTCGGGTTTTATACAGTATTACATGCTAGGTTGACTAAATATAATCCGTTTTCTTTACAGTTGAACTCAGAAAAAGATAACGGATTTTTTCGGAACAGAAAGGTTTTTAGTAGCATCCCAAATTATGATTTCGCAAATTAATAAGTATTTTTAGAAAAGATTTTGCGAAAAATTAACTCTGATATTAGTAAGATAGCAGGGTGTTACAATACGCCAACTATCAGCAGAGGGAGAGAACATACCAATATTAATGGAGTTCGACTAATATTGTGTACTTCTCCAGACACTGCAGACCATAGTGCTTGTTTATATGTTTTTCCAAAAAAAATCAATTTCAGCTCAAATCTAACTAAAATTTAACTCAACCTCGTTATCATGTATTTTTATTAATATCATTAAGTAATATAAATCAATCATCCATACATATCATATCATCTTTAATTCACTATTCATCCGCTCACATAATTTTAACTATCTATCCGTTCCAATTTTTTTTATACTTTTATATCAAATCAACTCTAATCGTTTTATTTTAAATGTTATTTTAATACAAATTCAAAAATCGCACTTAAACTTAACTCATTCAACTTTTTAAAACTAACTATGTTTAATAAAAAAAACCAACCAAAACCAAGAAACAATTATAAACAAGAATGTCCTAAATTCATTGAATTTACCAACTAAAATATAACTAGTGTTGAATAGCTCACAAATTAGGATTTCATTAATTAAAGAATTCCTTATAAGAGATATGAGAAACTAAAATAAGGTGTAAATATAACCCAAATACAAGACATATTTATACTAAAAAAAATTCCACGTCTTTCATACACATTTGATATGAGACAAAACTTTTAGGTCAAAACCTAATATGAGTAGCTAGCTATATATGGTATCCTTTTTTTGGTCCCCTTTTGTGACCCTATGTTTTCACAGTGCTATATATGTAGAGTTATAATGGCAACAACTTAAGAAAGAATATCTAATTGGAGCTCATATATATCACTCCAAGTTCCATCCTCACACTAAAAATCACCATCAAAGCAAACAACAACGGTCCAGATTGATTTCTTTAAATTGAATTGTCCACGCATGGATTGAGAATATTATCAAGATAAAGATTAAAGTAGCTAGGGTACCCGTTGGCATATTGTTTAATGTGTATATATATGATAGGACAAAGATGTCATCCGGGCTCCCTCGACTCGAACGGCCACCGTACCTGCAAGAACCCAAAGTCGGGGACCTCGAGAGGAGTGCCCGGCTTTGGGCCTTCGATGCTTAATTAAGGCAGTACTGGATTCATTTAAGAATGGATATAGAGAGAGAGAGTGTGTGTAGGAAGAGAGTGTAGGGAGAGAGTGTGTAGAGAATGTGTGAAATGAGTACCTTAGCCCCTTTTTATAGGGAGAATGTACCTTATAGTCTAAATTGGGTTTGACCTAAGTTGGGCTTGGCCCATATTATCATATCAAGTGTCTTAGCCTATGTATAGGTGTATTCTTCAATATATATCCCTAAAAATTGGTCGGGTATGACATGCTATATCAGAAACTACCAGTCGAGCTGGCAGTACTAGCTGTGGCTATATCAATATATAATATAATATGGATGGCAAAACTTTTATATGGTTATTTCGATCAACTGAGTTGTTGATATCCGAGTTGGGTCATCGTAGAATTCACGGTTCAAAGGTAAGGACCGAAAGACGATCTTAAAACCCGGGCCAATATCCGAGTAATTCCAAAAGGCCGAGCTGATCGGGCCAGTATCTAAATAAAAATCACTTTTAGACTAAGACGATATGCCAAAAACATTAATTCGTG